AAATTGTTATATAGGTCAAACATCCAGAGTTTTAAAAGATAGAATCACTTCTCACAAAAGTGATTGTAGATTAGGAAAAAATACTTCTATATTATCTACACATTTCAATGAATTAGATCATAGTTTTAATTATAATGAAACCAAAATATTACATAGGGAACAAAATTATAATAAAAGATTGTTTTTGGAGATGGTTGAAATCTTTTTAAATAACAATTCTATGAATAAAAGATCAGACATAGATGATTTAAGCATTATCTATTCAAATATCCTAACAATGAAACCTATAAATAATAATAACTTCACTTATAGTCAAAATATATCACTTTTATAAATTTATCAAAACATAAACCAACTTTTCTTTGGAATAATGTTGAAATTTTCTTGAAAAAACATTTCCACCATTTCTTGAACCATTGTTATTTGTAAATTTCAGATCATACTCATACCTGAAAGTAATACTAAAAAAGTCAGATTGTAACAATTTATTTAAAAAGTATGCCAAATTTTCTTGTAAATGATATTTTTTCAATTTAAAACACATAGCAGTAAGTAAGCCTTCCTTTTAATATTTATTTGTATAAATATTATTCTTTTTATATAGCCCTGAAGAAGAAAATAAAAATTTTCGAAAGCTAGGCGTAGCTAAAAAGTTTTAAGACTTTTATTTAGACCCAGACTGATACCCCAGAAAATATCTTCCATTTATATATATATATATATATATATAGTTATTAATTTCTTGGGGTATCAGCCTATTTCTTCGGGACTAGTTCAATAAAAAACTCTTTTCTGCTACGCCAAGCTTTCGAAAATGTTTATTTTCTTTCTCAAGGCTACAATTTGAAAATAAGATGTTAGATAATAATAGGCAATACTGAATTAAGGGAATATTTACCCTGTGTGCAAAGTGAGTCAATCACATAATGGACTTTTGACTACCTTTGCCAACATTAGAGACATCCTTCCACTTATTGGTCACAATAAATATATGTTAAGTTGTTCAAACAAACACAACATTAATTAGAATTATAAAATATTAGAGAGATTACATTCTTAATTCTACTTTATTTCGGGACGTTTCTTCCCTTTCACGTGCGAAACAAAATGGAGAGCACCTAAGACAAAAATTCAAAAAACCCATTTCCTGTTACCATGAGGAATGTCATACTCGGCTATGCCACCTGTCGGAATAACATTGAAAGGTTACTGTTGTACCTATTGTTGCTAGATTATTATAGCTTTTCATTGATAGATGGCGTATCGATTGTTGTTAATAAAGTGTTGAAATTTGCTCGAAGATGGAGTGGGTGTCCCAATTGAATGATCAGTGCATTTTGGCGACTGTTCCAACATTGATAATCCAAAGTATAAAACACATCATAAATCAACATAATTAAGTGTTACCTCCAGCAGATCCCACTTCTGCTGGGGGTGAAACTCAAGGTGTAGATTCCAGTCTCCACATCCGGAAACCCACCACATCTGTCACATGAGAGCAAGATCCATCGTGAAAGACTTTTTGGCTGAAAAATTGTAATATATGAACAATGATGAATGAAAAAATGACTGTTAATCTCCAGAGAACCCAACTCTGTCCTCAGTCCTCACTTCTGGGCCAGTTTAAGTGTATTTCTAGAATTAAACACTACCTCCAGCAGATCCCACTTCTGCTGGGGGCAATATTCAAGGTGTATCTGTTAGTCTATGCGTCCGAAAACCGTCCCATCTGTCACTTGAGTACAGAGTTCGTCCACCTAGACCCTTTTGCTAACTCAGAAGGAGGTGTTACCTGGGAGTTTCTTGGGGTATCGGTCGTCTTGAAGGGCTAGGAAATAAAAATCTCTTTTTCCACTAAGCCGAGCTTTCGGCAATTATTTATTGCCTTCGTCAGGGCTACAACAATATAAAAGATCTTATTATTATGAATAATCAAAACTATGACTAGGACATATAAATTTTTAACTATAACTTACTTGCAAAGTGAGATTTTATAGTCGAAAAGTTTTCAAATTGTCGGAAAATTGTTGTTATTCTATTTTGACTATCAAACTGTACAGAATATAAATGTTAAAAATATGGAAAAATAATTAATAAACAATAATTGATAGATATAAGAAAAATAGAAGAGATAGAATAATATGTAGAATAAAATTTTGAAGTGTATAAATACTAGTTTCTCATAGACATTGATTTTTGGTGTCATCACTAGACCAGTTAGGTAATTTTAGGAATAAATTTAATTAGATGTAAGTAGGTTCGAATAAATACTACTGAGATCTTGAATATCCTTTCTTTTATTTAGGCATAAAGTTTCTTGAGATATCTCTACCATTTCTAGAAACAAACGTTTATTTAAATTTTGTTCATGAATAATCACTTGTGAATTTCCAAAATCAAAATCGTGTCCTTCTTTAGTAGAATGTTCTGAAAGAGCACAAGAAAGAATAGTTCTTCTACAATCACTTTTATGTCGTGTTATCCTATCTTTTAATACAGTTGATGTTTGACCGATATAAACTTGATTACATTGTTCGCAAGGAATTTTATAGATTACTGAAGATTGTTTTAAAGTTTCATCTTTGTCTTTGACTTTAGAGTATAAATTGCCTATTTTATTGATATGTTTGTGTGCAATTTTTATGTCTGGTATAATTTCTAATATTTTGATTACTTTTTGTGAGACACTTTTAATATATGGTAATGCAAAATAATATATTTTATTTTGTATCTGAGGATCATTATTATTTATTATAATATTATTATTTTGTTGGTTATTCCCCATAGAATTATTTGTAATAAGTGACGTATTGTATAAATATTTTTTGAGAAAAGCATCTGGATAAGAGTTATCTTTCATTATATTATAAAGTTTTTTTATGTTATTTTCTCTAAATTCAGGGTGGGAAATTCTCTCAATTCTTCGGCGTAATCCTAATATAACATTTATTTTCATTTTTGTTGTATGGTAGGAATTGAAGTTGATATATCTACCTGAGCTTGTTGGTTTAGAATACCAATCAAGTTGGATTTTATTTTGATCATTTCTCATCACTAGAGTATCTAGAAATGGTACACTTTGATTATTTTCAGTTTCAATTGTGAATTGAATATTAGGATCATAACCGTTAAATGTTGAGATTAGTTCTGTAAGTTGGTCACGTGGGATTGCACAGATTAAATCATCCACGTATTTTTTAATGAAAGGCATATCAAAATGAAGTTTTGGAATACATTCGTTCAAAAGATCATCCATTACATATTGAGCGATAATAGGAGACATTGTTGCACCCATAGGTGTGCCTAAGATCTGTTTATAAAAAATATTTTGAAATCTGAAATATGTTGAATCGAAAATAAATTGTAATATTTCAAGAAATTGTTTTTGAGAAATATTGGTATGCTCAGAAATAATAGACCAGTGTTTTTTAATGCTTTTTTCTATTAAGTAGTAAGGTATTTTACTGAATAAAGAAACTACGTCAAGGCTTACAACTATATAATTGGCAGGTATACTCATATCATTGACATTAGGTTTTACCTAAACATTGTTTCTAGAAATGGTAGAGATATCTCAAGAACCTTTATGCCTAAATAAAAGAAAGGATATTCAAGATCTCAGTAGTATTTATTCGAACCTACTTACATCTAATTAAATTTATTCCTAAAATTACCTAACTGGTCTAGTGATGACACCAAAAATCAATGTCTATGAGAAACTAGTATTTATACACTTCAAAATTTTATTCTACATATTATTCTATCTCTTCTATTTTTCTTATATCTATCAATTATTGTTTATTAATTATTTTTCCATATTTTTAACATTTATATTCTGTACAGTTTGATAGTCAAAATAGAATAACAACAATTTTCCGACAATTTGAAAACTTTTCGACTATAAAATCTCACTTTGCAAGTAAGTTATAGTTAAAAATTTATATGTCCTAGTCATAGTTTTGATTATTCATAATAATAAGATCTTTTATATTGTTGTAGCCCTGACGAAGGCAATAAATAATTGCCGAAAGCTCGGCTTAGTGGAAAAAGAGATTTTTATTTCCTAGCCCTTCAAGACGACCGATACCCCAAGAAACTCCCATTGTTATATATATATATATATATATATATATATATATATATATATATATATATATATATATATATATATATATATATGTAAACATCTCTTATACCTATTATGGGACAATCTGATAATACGATTTTTAGGCTAGCTAGTTATTACATCTTAGTATATACAGGGTGTTCATTTCAAAACTTACCACCCCTATTATGTCGGAGTTGAAAATTTTCGAAAAAAATCCCTGAAACACGTCAACTATAATTTGAGGGAGGATGAATTTTTATGCAAAATTCACCTTCCCCCTTTCAACCTTAGAACTACCCCCTAGAAAATCTTAAATGGGAAGTGGGATCAAGTGAGGGTTTTTAATTCCATACATTTTGGTACATTTTAATACCTAAGTTCAACTCGACAGTTGATAATTTACTTTTTTACAACTTTGATAGGCTGTAAAACCTAAACAGTTAATTTTAGAGGAAAACCGAGCTTACATTCTCATCTTAGAGATTTTCATAAACAATTATTTGACACCAACTTTGAATTTAACCGAAGATTAAACTTAATTGGAATTTTCAATCATGTCAATAAGTTGCAAAAAAGTCAATTTTCAAGACAGTTGAACTTGCGTATGAAAATTTAATACCAAAATGCATGGAAATAAAAATCCTCCAAAATGATATATCACTTTACCCCCCTTCCCATTTAAGATTTTTTAGGACGTGGCTGTGGAGGCTGGGGGGTTAAAAGGGGAAAAGTGAATTTTTCATAAAAACTCATCCCCCTCCCTCAAATTATAGTTTACGTGTTTCAGGGATTTTTTCGAAAACTTTTCAACTCCGAGATAATAAGGGTGGTAAGTTTTAAAATGAACACCCTGTATCTAATTGGTAATCTTTAAATTTGATAGGTTTCTTACCGACTGATCCAGATGAACCAGTATAAAGCATCAGCATGCCATTCTCACTAGAAATTTCCTCTGCAGATCGTTGTTTCTGTTCCAACATCAGTTTGGGCCTAACATTCTCTTCTCTTCCGTCCGTTGACATGACAACGTCATCAGAATCAGACTCGTCTTCTGCATCACCTTTAAATTTATATCACTTTATTAGTTATAGGGGTTTTACAGAAACTACTCACTCATACTATCGGAACTAAAAATAATAGGCGTAGGCGCTATGTCAGGTACTGTAGTAGGAAAGATCACTTTGGGAATAACTTTTCTGAAATTGTCAAAGACGTAGCCTGTTTCATACCAATTGGCCAAGTCTCCGTCAATGACTTGTTGGGGTTTATTGGACTGTGGTACGCCTAATTTTGAGTACTACGAATAAACGATATTAAAAAATTGGAAATATAAAGCTATTTGAAGTTATTACCGCTTTTTTAAAATCATTAGTAATATTGACAGATTGCTCCAATAGGTAAACCATAAGAGCCATCACGTGTTCAGATACCATTCCCTTAACAGCTTTGTACAAAACAACAAAAGCCATTGCAGGAAAAACGTTCCAAGTCAATATATGCCTAGGGTCAATGTAATTATGTCCTACTTTGGCCGGCGTTCTAAATGGTGGCCACGGATTCACTCCTGGTTTCAGTTTGTTGGTTTGCCTACAGCTGAAAGACACATTTTATCTAATGAAATACATGAAGTACACGACTTACTATTCCGTGTATCTGTCTATGGCATTTTGGAAATCTCTCCGGTGGACTGCTCGTAGTAAAACGTGGATCGGATCGAAATGATGCTCCCAAACGCTAGCTTTGGGCACGTACATCCCTTGTTGCATGTTACCGCTAGCTTCCAAAGAAGGCGCTCTGTAATCGGCGCATTCTGCTAGGAGAGCTTCAAAGTCGCGACTTTGTGTACCACACCTAAATTAGATAGATTTCACAAGTTTTTGAAAATTCAAATTTCACTATGTTATATTCAGTAAAAGTTGTTGTTTTTGTTAGTAGTAGACTTTAAGACAAGTTTACCGCGAAATTCGTGATAATATCATCGAAACGGTCAAAGAGTGGCCTTTGTCTTAAGTTAAGTCAGCAGGTTTGTGAAAACAAGAATTGCGGCAGATAGATGATAGATACAATGTGACCTACTAGATGGCCCCAAACACCAACAAATTCTTACCTTTCTGGCATCAGTTCCATCAATTGAGAATGCGTTTTATCGCTCATGCAGAGTAAAGTAACCATTTCCAATCGGTTCAGTACGGTATCGGGCAAGCCCAAATTTGTTCTTACACTGACTAATGTCGCAAGGAATGTAAGACAGCTTTCCAACATGGGCGTGTCGTTCTCACCCTCGAAAAACGAACTTTGGTAGATTCTGAATGGTACCAAGCTCATGAATTCCTTAATGTGGAACTGGTCGATGACCATGGTAAGGAACCGTTCGGTGTTCACTCTGGTGCAGCATATTTGCAAAAGGTACAGATCGGCATCCACCATTGAGTTGCAAAAGTTGCACTGAATGTACGTCATTGCTTGGCCTTTGATTTGTAGACCGTTTCTCACCCATAATCCGTTAAGAATTTCGTAAAAAGCAACCTGAAAAAATTTAAAAAAAAAGGATTCAGTCTTTGAGTCAACCTTACTTTGTGTCGAGATAAACTTAGTCATCAGTTAGAATATTTTTGTTAATACACAAACTCGAAGGCGTGCACAGGTACCAATATACTTTCGCCGAAGAACGGCTTTTACTGGGAAAACGTTGATTCATCAGCCTTTACGGGTTATCAAAATACAAAAACATGTTTATTAATTTGCCGTATATTTGTCATAAAAGATAAATGAATCAATTCAGGAAATGAGCAAGTTTCATTAAGAACTGCTTTCAAATCAAATGCATTGTATTCAAATGTCTCCTCCCTCAATATCATCAAGTATTGACAAAAGTGTGTAGAGGTGTTATACTATACAAAAACTACTGAAAGGGCACTGTGTCGAAAAGCATAAGTAGCAATCTATATTTCCAAATAGTTAACGGTGAACTGTTCTTACAAAAAAATATTGTAATAATGAGAGTATTGATGAGACCCGTCCCATCTGAACATTCTAAACATCTTTTCCTGCTCCTTCTGGTTCAGCTCAACAAACCAATCGCAATACCAATAAAAAGAAGGTTCTTTTCAAAAAATAAGGTTACAAACAATATCACCGGAATGGTAAATAAATATTACAATTACATCGGACATTACAAATAGGTATTATTAATTTCGAAACAGATGAGTAATTGGTAATGCCCCATGTGATAACTGTGATATGAAGAAAAATGATTAAATGTGAAATATTTTTTCTCATCCCGTTCTTGGTATGAGTATATTTCTTGTGAATGGGCGAAGTTACCTCTATTGGCAAAGTGACCCCCACTCCTCAGTACGTTATTTTTTATTTTTTTTCATTGGGGGCATTTGAAAATGAGAGTTTCTGCTAGTGCACCAGAATCTTAATAAGATCTTCGCATGGCTACAAAATGCTGTCTTACAACACTAGCGGATTTTCAAAATGCTTGAACGAAACCAATTTTAATCCAGACTTTATCATCCTATGGAAGTTAACGGAAAATATTCGGAACAACTTTTTTTCTAGTTTATTATAATGCTAACTGTACTATATGGTTTTAGGTATTTGAAGGAATAAAATAAAACACGTGATCACTTCAGTAATCATCCGTTGCCCACCTTGCCGGAGTGAATGATCTCACCTTCCCGGGTAACGAATTTTATTTATTTTTTTATTCAACGTAAACAGTAAACGAATATCAATTCAAGGTGAATAGTCCAAGAAACGGAGATCTGAAAAGAGGGGTTACCTCAACATAATTAGAAGTTGAAATTTTTTTGGGGGGATCGGTCCATTTTAATATGCTAAACAACATATTAAGTTTGCGACCTTGTAGTTCCATAGGGTTTTCAGTTAGGGGTGGTTTTTAGGGGTAATTTGCGGTTTATGGAGAACGCTGCTCAAAGGGATGGTTCAATAGTGAAAAGTTTCAAATGAATGTTGTAGCTGAAGTGTTTTGCTATAAAAAACTCAGCGACAGCACCCCTCTATCTTCTATAGTTTTTTTTCTGCAGCGTCTTGAATAAGGTCACTGAATCAACGTTTTGCCATTTTGCGCGCATTTCTTGCAGCAGCGGCCGAATGCATAATCCGATTCCAATTTTTCAAACACTACATTATTGCTAATTAAATGCACTCTCCAATGCTTTTTTGTTCGAATTTTTTGCTTGAAAATTAAGTGAGCACGGACTTGTCTAATGTGCGAGGAAGTTGTAAATTGCATCGAAAACTACCCCTTTCTTGCATTCACTCTAATTTCTAAACGGGGCCAAATATTTGGTGACAGTTTTCGACAATCGGCAGCCCATTTATTCCTCTCATAACGCCCCAGCGGATTTTTTTTTTCGTTAATTACTTAATGACTTATTGGCCTGAAAACGTCGCGCGGGATTTTTCAAAAAGTAAAAAAAAAATAAAATTGTCGCATAGCGCTGAAATTTGGTACGATGGCCTTATTTCTTGTTCTTACGAATATACTGCAATTTAAATTGCTTCACATGATATAAAATGCAAATAAATAATAAAATGAGAGATTAGTTAGTTAACTGAGACGCGAAGCGTCGAAGTTAACTATAATCTCGAGACAGGAATGAAACTTCCTACCGAGGTTTGTATACTATTTTATTTACAACAATTACAACCCTCATAATTTCGACTAAATACAAAAAAAAAAAAAAATTTGTTGACAAGTTTTGACTCATTTAAAGAAACGTTTGACATGCAGGACTCGTCTTAAACATTTAAGGAAATGAGAACTTACTTTCCACTCGGGTGGAAAGTGAGCAGTTTCCACCCGGGACCACTTTCCACCCGGGTGGAAAGTAAAATTCAAAAAAGTGTCACTTTCAAACTTTTGAAAAGTCAGAAATATCAACATTACGTATGTGGTTGTAAATAATAGTATATTACATACCGAGGTGGAAAGTGTTTCATTACTGTCGAGAGATCAGTTAGTTAACTGAGACGCGAAGCGTCGAAGTTAACTATAATCTCGAGACAGGAATGAAACTTCCTACCGAGGTTTGTATACTATTTTATTTACAACAATTACAAACCTCATTATTTCGACTAAATACTAAAAAAAAATTAAAAAATTTGTTGACAAGTTCTGACTCATCTAAAAAAACGTTTGACATGCAGGACTCGTCTTAAACATTTTAGGAAATGAGAACTTACTTTCCACCCGGGTGGAAAGTGAGCACTTTCCACCCGGGACCACTTTCCACCCGGGTGGAAAGTAAAATTCAAAAAAGTGTCACTTTCAAACTTTTGAAAAGTCAGAAATGTAAACATTACGTATGTTGTTGTAAATAATAGTATATTACATACCGAGGTGGAAAGTGTTTCATTACTGTCGAGAGATTTAAGTTAGACCGAGGCGCCGCCGAGGTCTAACTGAAATCTCGAGACAGTAATGAAACTTTTCACCGAGGTATGTATACTATTTTATTTACAATCATTCGAATTTTGATTTTTTCATTTGGATTAAAACTAAAAAATACAATAATTAACAATTTCATTTACTTTCGGCCCACGGGTCGAAAGTTTACTTTAAGTTTACTTTCGACCCGTGGGCCGAAAGTAAAAGTCAAAAAATACAATAAATTTTAAAAATTTCATTCACTTTCGACCCGTGGGCCGAAAGTAAAAGTCAAAAAAGTGACATTTTCGAACTTTTTAAAAGTCAGTAAAGTCAACATTACATGTATGATTGTAAATAATAGTATATTACATACCGAGTTGGGAAGTGTTCCATTACTGTCGAGAGATTAGTTAGTTAACTGAGACGCGAAGCGTCGAAGTTAACTATAATCTCGAGACAGAAATGAAACTTCCTACCGAGGTTTGTATACTATTTTATTTACAACAATTACAACCCTCATAATTTCGACTAAATACAAAAAAAAAAAAAAAATTGTTGACAAGTTTTGACTCATTTAAAGAAACGTTTGACATGCAGGACTCGTCTTAAACATTTAAGGAAATGAGAACTTACTTTCCACTCGGGTGGAAAGTGAGCAGTTTCCACCCGGGACCACTTTCCACCCGGGTGGAAAGTAAAATTCAAAAAAGTGTCACTTTCAAACTTTTGAAAAGTCAGAAATATCAACATTACGTATGTGGTTGTAAATAATAGTATATTACATACCGAGGTGGAAAGTATTATCATTATCATTATCATCATTACTGTCGAGAGATTTTAGTTAGACCGAGGCGCAGCCGAGGTCTAAATAAAATCTCGAGACAGTAATGAAACTTTTCACCGAGGTATGCATACTATTTTATTTAAAATCACGGGAGGAAAGTAAACTTTCGACCCGTGGGCCGAAAGTAAAAGTCAAAAAATACAATTAATTTAAAAAATTTCATTTACTTTCAACCCACGGGTCGAAAGTAATGGGATTTTTTTTGCATGGAGGTTGGAGATGGTGTTAGAATAGTACTCTATTCATTTCATGGCAAAACTCGAAGTCCAAGTTAGAAAAAAATACGAAAACCTCAAAATTTATGCATTTTCATTTGTTAAGGATAGTTTTTCATATTTCGACGAGCTTTCAGTCAATGGGATTTTACAATAGGGTTGGAAAAAGTGTGTACGATTTATTGGATTCAATTTCAATTTAGAAAAACGCCCATGATCGTTCGGGTGTTTCCGTCAAATTAGCTGCCAAGTTTTGGCTGCTAACTTCACACCGGTCTTTATCAAGACCAGCACTAAATACTCAAAAACAACAGATGATTTTCAAGTAAGAACAATCATAATGGCTTTACATAAAAAATGCAAAGATATATTACAAAGTACTAACCTAATGCAGATCCAGGAAAGTTGCAGTAGAATATTATTTAAAAAAATATTGGCCTTCAGTAAAACGTGAACCAAAACCGTATTACCAACATAATATAACATAAAGATGGAATTCTTGAGTTGGATAAACTTTTATTCAAAGGTAATGGACTAATATTACGATGGGAGGCAGTACACTTGGATTGGGTTGCTTTGCTTTCCTATCCACACTAATTAGATCTGATAGATCGAAACGCGTCTGTGGATGAAGAAGCGAAGAATATTAACCCAAAATTTTCGAATAGACTAGTAATGCTAAAAGATCATAGATCATAGTCTATGTAGTGTGGAATAAAATATATTCTCTGTACATCAAGGGGAAGGGGCTACCTATCTCATGTAAAAAAAGCTCACAATTCAGTGTTTTGGCCTAATTTCAACGGAAATACATCAAATATGGTTTCATTTTGTCCTGTTTGAAATAGGTATCCATATCTAACAAAAACCAGCCTTTGCAACATGAACAGCATCAAGTACCAGAATTGCCTTGGGAGAAAATAGGTATGGATTTTATGCAAGTGCAGAGAAGATATATTATTTCGCTTGTGACTATTATTCAAGATTTATTGAAATAATACCATTAACGAAAAAAATGTCAGCACGATATTAGTCCACGATAATATTGAAACAATATAAAAGG